CGCCGCAGATGCCGCGGATGTCCCCAATGTGCCGCGAACGCCGTCAGCCGCTGACACGCGCCAACTGCGCCGCTGACGCCACTAACGCGGTCAGCGTCTGGGACGCCGCCGAACCGCTGACCGCGCAGTGGATGCCCCCGACCAGCCTACCGCGCCGACACTCCCAGGCGCCGCCCATGCTATCCGCAGACGCCGTCAAAGTACCTCCGACGCCGCCGTCACGCCGCAGACCCCGCGGACGCCACCGTCGCCGCGCCGCTGACGTCACTAAAGCGCCAACCTCGGCGCGGACGCCACAGATCCTCTGGACTCAGCCTACGCTGACTGCGCCGCGAACACCCCCTGATGTGCGGACCACGCCGCTAACGTCCCCAACGCGCCTACCTCGCCACCATCGCCACTGATGCTGTCAGCGCCTGGGGCACCGCCAACCCACTGACCGCACCGCGGCCACCGCCAACATTTCCGATGCGCCGACCGCGCTGCTGATGCCATCCGCGCCTGGGACACCGCCGTCACGCCTCGGACGCCGCAGACGGGCCAACTGTGCCGCAGACGCCCCCGACGCAGACCGCGGCGCGGATGGCCCCGACGCACGGATGGCGCCTCTGGCGCCGCCGTCGTGCCGCAGACTCCGCGGACGCCCACGACGCTCTGACCGCGCTGCCGACGCCACTGACGCTGTCAGCGCTTGGGACGCCGCCGAACCGCTGACCACGCCGTCGATGCCCCCGACCAGCTTACCGTGCCGCCGACAAAATCCGACGCGCCGACCGCGCCGCCGACGTCATCCTCACTTGCGAAGCCGCAGAAGTGCCTCGGACGCCGCAGACGCCCCCTGCGCACAGTAGACGCCGCCGACGCCCTTAGCGCATGAGACCCCGTTGACGCGCCTCCTACGCCGCCGATGTGCCGACTGCGCCACGGACGCCCCCAAGGCGCCGACCTTGCCTCAGACGCCGTCCGCGGCAGACCCCGCAGACGCCGTCAGTGCCTGGGACGCCGTGGGCGCCCATTAGGCCCCGACGCCCCTGGGATGCCGCCGAACCGCTGACCCTGCCGCGGATGCCCCCGAGGAGACTACCTCGCAGCTGACGCTCCTGACGCGCGGACCCCGCCGCCGATGACATCAGCGCCTGGGACGGGGACGCTGCCGTCAGGCCGCCGACGCCGTTAGCGCATGGGACGTCGCTGACGCGCCGAGCTCGGCGTGGACGCCGCAGACCCTCTGGACGCCGCTGACGCCGACCGCGCCGCGGACGCCGCTGATGCTGTCAGCGCCTGGGTCGCCGCCAACCCGCTGACCGCAGGTAATAGGCTTGGCTAAGATTCTCTTCTCTTCCTACTTTAGTGGAAAAAATAAGTTAGGAATTCGTCTGAGAGGCTGAAGAACTGTCCTTACCTCATGTTGAGTTGAGGTTGTTGCTTTGGGGTCACAATTTGGCCCAGAGAAAGTCTGTTCTTGTTCTTCTTTTCAGATAGTTTTGCAGGGATTCAGAAATGCGGGAGGTAGTGGTTCCAGTCCTGCACAGCAGGGCCGTGCGCTGACAGCTTTCCCCGGGTATCTGTCAAGTCTGGGGCCACTCGCGGTAACTCGGCATCACCTACACGAAACTGTCAGGAAGGGTAGGCGTGTACATTCAGTTATTTGCCAAGCCTAGCCCCAGTCGGGATGGTTTAAAAAAGTCTTACGAGTAGTCATTCTCTAGTTTGAAAACTTTATACTAATCAAAGAGTAAAATAATGTTGGATTTGTTTCATTTATTCTTTATTTGCCTTTTTTAAAAAGTGTACTTTTCTCTAAATTTTGTATTTTGGAAATTTCAAACCTACAGAAAAGGGGCAAGAATAGTATAGTGAAGACTCATATACGTTTTTATTCAGACCAGTTGTCAACATTCTGCCACATTTGCCTTATTTCTTTGTATGTACACACACATATATGTGGATGTAATGTATTTTCTGAACCGTTGGAGAATTTCTTACAGAAATCATGACACTTTATGCTGCGTACGTCAGTATTTCCTAAGAACAAGACCATTCTTCTACATAGCTACAATATAATTATCATACTCAGAAAATTTAACCTTGATATAGGCTTAGTATCTAATATGCAGTCCACATTCAGAGTTCCTGTTGTCCCAATGATGTTCTGTATAGCTAGTTTGATTCCCCCCAACCCAGGGCTTATGCATTGTGCTTAGTTGTCATATCTCTTAGTCTCTAATCTAGAACAATTGTTTAGCTTTTACTTTTTTTTTTTTTTTTTTTTTTTGAGATGGAGTCTTGCTCTGTCACCAGGCTGGAGTGCAGTGGCGCAATCTCGGCTCACTGCAACCTCCGCCTCCTGGGTTCAAGCGATTCTTCCGCTTCAGCCTCTGGAGTAGGTGGGACTACTGGCGCGTCCCACCACACCCGGCTAATTTTTGTATTTTTAGTAGAGGGGGTTTCATCATGGCCAGGATGGTCTCGATCTCTTGACCTCGTGATCTCCCCACCTCGGCCTCCCAAAGTGCTGGGATTACAGACGTGAGCCACCACGCGCGGCCTAGCTTTTATTTCTTTTTAGCGAGACTGGCTTTTGAAGAATTTAGGACTGCGAATATTCCTCAGTTTAGCCATGATTCTTTTCTCGTGGTTAGATTCCAGTTAAACATTTTTGGCAGGAATACGATATGGATGAATTTCCCCTCTCCTCCCCTCCTCTCCCCACCCTACCCCCCCCTACCCTACCCCGTTTTTTTTTTGCTCTCTTTTTTTTTTTTTTTTTTTTTTGAGACACAATCTGTCATTGCCCAGGCTGGATTGCAGTGGTGCCATCTCAGCTCACTGCAGCCTCTGCTTCCCGGGTTCAAGCGATCTTCTCACCTCAGCCTCCCAAAGTGGAGCTAGAACTTGCTTAGCTAGTTTGTTTGTTTTGTTTTGTTTTGTATTTTTAGAGATGGGGTTTCACTGTGTTGGCCAGGCTGGTCTAGAGCTCCTAGCCTGAAGTGATCCACCTTCCTCAGCCTCCCAAAGTGCTGGAATTACAGGTGTGAGCCTGGATGACATCTTTCTTAGTGCATCACATCAGTGCATGATAATCAGTTTGTATGATCCTTGGTGATATGAAATTTAGTCAATTGGTTAAGGTTGTAGCTGCCAAATCTCTCCATTGCAAAAGGTTCATTTTCCTTTTTATATGTAAGTCATCTGCTGGCTGAAGTTGAGATGTTGACAGTTCTGTTTTCCAGCAATCATTCACTCAGTGGCTGTAGTATCATTTGAGCCTTGCATGAACCAACTCTTACATTGGTAGCTTAAAAATAGTGATTTTTCAGGGCAGGGCACGGTGGCTCATGCCTTTAATCCCAGCACTTTGGAAGGCCCAGGAGAGTGGATCACTTGAGCTCAGGAGTTCGAGGCCAGACCGGGCAATATGATGAAGCTACCTCTCTGCTAAAAATACAAAAATTAGTCAGGCTTGGTGGTACATGCCTGTAATCCCAGCTATGCAGGAGGCTGAGGCAGGAGAACCGCTTGAATCTGGGAGGCAGAAAGGTTGCCCCACTGCACACCAACCTGGCGACAGAATGAGACTCAGTCTCAAAAAAAAAATTACGATTTTCTCTTTGTAAAATTTCTTCTTTATTTCTTGATGGATATTATTTTATAAAGAAGAGCTGTCCTTTCCTTATCTCTGTGCTCCATTTGTTTTTATCAATATGGATTTTCAAAAATCATTATATTATTGATTTCCGTCATTATTTCCTTTACTCCTCAAATTTACCCAGATTCAGTCAGTGGGAACCTGATCGAGCAGTTTCTCTGACCCTTTGCCATATCCCCATCAGTTTTTTTGGTTTCTTTGTTTTTTGTCCTTTCATAGTTTCTGGCACAGTAAGATGTTCTGTGATTACCTTTTACTTTACCTGCCTCAGTCCCAGAATCAGCCATTATCCTAAAGAGCTCCCTGGTTCCTTTCGGTGGGTAATGGCATTGACAAACTGTGATCTGGGCACAAGATGTCTTCATTGCCACATTAATACCTTTTGCTTCTAGGTCCTTTTAAGTGAACAGAGCTAGCAGTGAATATTTTTAAGCATATATGTATATATTTGTATACATATGAAGATTTAATACTGACTTCTGTAATTCTGACTTAACAGTATAGGTTCTTTTTTCCTTCATTTCATATTCGTATCTCCTTGAGAGCCCTGATTACTTACAACATCACTATATTTCAAAATATTTACACATTTGCAGAATAGTATACTATGCAAAAGTAGTTTCAGAATTACTACATAAATACCACTATCAACAGTGAATGTATTCTGTAATGTTTACCTTTTTTTGTAATTCTTTTTATCCTTAAAGTAGTTTTGTGATTCTTTTTATCCTTAGGGTATTTTGCACTGACAGTGTTCAGTTAGTGAGTTCAAAAATTATTTGGATTAATTTGTTTTATTTTCTGGGTGGTTTTATTATCTATTTACTATATAGATTCATTTGTTGATATTAGGATTCAATTTTAGGTTTTTTATGTCCCATTAATTGACAAGCTGACTTACATATTAGGAATTAAACGTTAACACAGTTCAAAACTCCAGTATATAAAATGATATACTCAGATGTCCCATCTCTTTCCCTATCCCCTCTCTCCTGTTTCCACTCATCTCCTGAAGGTAATCAGTTTCATTTCTTGGTTATTCTTCCTGTGTATCTTTTTGCAAAAATCGACAAATGAATCATCTGTGTATATGTAATGTATATATGTATATTCTTATTCCCTAATGTAAAACCTATTACCTTAGATGTATTCTTAAGCATGTAGCTTGTTTTCCTTAACATAGTCTCAGGATTTCTAAATCACGCCATATAAGTTGATAAAAGATCATCCATATTCCTTTTTTACGTCAGTATATAGTTTCATTTGTGAATATACTATACTTTATTCAGTCTTTTCTTTATAGAATGCAGGATGACTGTGGTATTTAGCTCTTATAAATAATGCAACAAAGAACAACCTGTGTATATGTTTTATTTTTTTCTTATTATTGGAATGTGTCCTCAGTAAATTCCTCAAAGAAGGCAGCTGATATCACATTATGTTCATAGCAATTAAAACTAGCACTCTATTTTCATTTTAGGAGACTTGAACACAGTGGCAGGGCTGGAAAAGAACTGAGTAATGCCAAAGAGGAACTTGAACTCATGGCTAAAAAAGAAAGTCAGGTGAGTTTTCTAGTCAAGTCTTAATTTTTAAATCCCTATTATTTTTTCTTTCAAAATAGTTTCTATTTAAAAGTGTATAATTCTCCAAGTAGAATACCTGAGTCCAAATGCCAGGTATGACCTTTTTCTTTTTAGGGAAATATATACGTTATTTTTTATATACATTATCTTAACAAGATGCTCCTGTTTTTATACTGGGACCATTAAAACTTACTAAGTGCTGGAAAAACACAACTCTCACTCCCCATTGCTAATTGGACTAAAACAACTAACTGTAAAGGCCGGGTGTGGTGGCTCACACCCGTAATCCTGACACTGGGAGGCTGAGGTGGGCAGATCACTTGAGGTCAGGAGTTGGAGACCAGCCTGGCCAATAAGGCAAAATCCCATCTCTACTAAAAATACAAAAATTAGCCGGCTATGGTGGCGGGTGCTTGTAATCCCAGCTACTCGGGAGGCTGAGGCAGGAGAATCACTTGAACCTGGGAGGCAGAAGTTGCAGTGAGCTGAGATCATGCCATCAGACTCCAGCCTAGGAAAGGAGCAAAACTCCGCCTCCAAAAATAATAATAATAGTAAATAACTAGTGTAAATAAGAAATACTGTGTGATTGCTGCTTAGAGTTATGACATTAGACCCATGAAATTAGTTTTAGAAACATGAAAGGAGAAACTTGAGTATAGTCAATGTTGAGTATTCATATGCAATGTACTGTGCTGGGTATTTAAATTAGCACTAATGCTTAAAACTCTATATGAAGTAAATGGTATCAGCCCCATTATTATAGATGAAGAAGCTGAAACACTGATTTCTCTTATAGAATGAGAGTGGAGAATAGTCGTGTAACTAATAAATGCCAAAGCTTTGATTCAAACTCCTGTCTTTTGTGACTTCACATAATTCCTAAGATTCATTTTTCCCATCTTATGCTTTAACTCTCTCGAGCATAGACTTTTCATCAGTTCTTTTACAAGACACCATTCAGCTTTAGAGATTCACACCCCCCATCTTTTCTATATATATTTTCTTTTTCTGTTCCTAGAACAGAAAAAGTCTGGTGTACCTACAGAGTCACGAGTGAGGAGTAAAATGGCTGATATTCAAGTTGGAAAAGCAGGCAGGAACCAGATCACTAGGTTTGTTAAAAGAATTAAATATAGACAGGAAATATGTGTTTCCTAAATATATACACAGCTAGTTGCATATTCAACTGTGATGTTGAGGAAATAGGACCACAGTGCAGAGTTAGAGACTTGTTTGTTGCACTGGCATCTCTTTTAGAAGATCAGTCAGTGTCGTGGCTTCCTAAATTAACTTCAGCTAGCTAGTCTAAATAGCTCCTTAGGTTTTTTCATACCTTTTGCCATAGCTAGATCTGTAATACGGAACCTGTGATTGTATTTGTGATGGAATTAACATATTTTATCTTTTGATTTTATTACCATATTTCTGCTTACAAACAGATTCATGTTTTTGACTCAGTTAGTTTTTAGGATATGAGAATGTGTGGCATTGAAGAAATACCAGTTTTTAAAATCCCCTAGTCTCCGTTACTTTCTGTGGTTCTACCTTAGCCGTTATCTGATTATTCATGGCAGGTATTTTAGTTTCCACATGCTCTTCTGTTTTTCTCACATATACCAAATCCAGAGTAATGTTACTTTTTGGTTCTGTCCTGTTTTCAGGATCATGAAATTCTAATGCCTATGAATGGGTGTTTTGAAGGGGTGATATTTAGCTATTGCTAACTTGCTTTAAAGGGTTTATTTAAAATAACTTGCCCTTACCATGAAGACTGTATTGATATGCAGCATCTGCTGGGAAGACATTATAGCCTCGTGGCTCTGAGTCAGCTTCCCCGAGTCCACATTCTAGATTTACCACTTACGAGCTAGCCCTGTGATTTTTGAACAAGTTCCTTAATTTTTCTCAATCACCTTGTCTGTAAATTGAAGAGTAGAAGTCACTTTATGTATAAATCAAAGAGGAGTTATCTCATAGGATTGTTGTGAGGATTCACTACTTCATTCATTAGCTGTATGGGAACCTTCTCTCAACTTGAGCTAGGGCTGGGGATAAGGTAGTGAATGAAATCAGCAAGATCTCTGGCTCTATGTAGTTAATTTCCACTGGGGAGATACAGACAATAAACAGATCGATATAGTTATAGATGATAGTAAGTGATATGAGGGAAACGATAGAAAGTAACATGGATGGAGGTCATCTTAAATAGGGTGGCCAAAGAAGGCTTCTCTGAGCAGATGACACGTAAGCTGGGACCTGAGGATCAGAGAAAGACAGCGCTGGGAAAGATATTTCAGGCAAAGGGAGTAGTAGCTGTAAAGGCCTAGAGTTAAGAGAAAGTCTGGTGTTCCTAGAACAGAAACAGTCGAGTGTACCTACAGAGTCGTGAGTGAGGAGTAAAATGGCAGATACTAAAGTGGGAAAAGCAGGCAGGAACCAGAGCACTGGTTTTGTTAAAAGAATTAACTATATACAAAGCATATGTTAGAGAGCCTGTGGCATAGTAAACGTTAGCAGGTGTGGATATTATCATGATTTTTTTTTTTTTTTTGAGACAGAGTCTTGCTCTGTCACCCAGGCGAGAGTGCAATGGCATGATCTCCACTGACGACAACCACCACCTCCCCGGTTCAAGTGATTCTCCTGCCTCAGCCTCCTGAGTAGCTGGGATTACTGGCATTCACCACCATGCCTGGCTAATCTTTATATTTTTAGTAGAGGCGAGGCTTCACCATTTGGGTCAGGCTGGTCTCGAACTCCTGACCGCATGATTCACCCACCTGGTCTTCTCAAGTGTTGGGATTACAGGCGTGAGCCATGGCGCCCAGCCTATGATGAGTTTTAATGAACTTTGTCATAACCAAGTATTTATCATTTTCTGTTGAGAACACTGAAAGTTGAGGGCATGTAGTGCTAGCCCTTGGCAGGATTCCTTCAGAGGTGGTGGCATGTTCTTCCATCTGGAGGCATGTACTGTTTGGTGATCTCTTGTGATGTTAGCAGCTTTTGGGGTTTGATGCCTAATCCATTAATTCATTAAGGGTTGCAAAATGGAGATATCCTAATGCTATCATTTTTTTCCTCTATTAGCTGAAGTACTTACATAAAAACTTTATCTCTTATTGCTTCTGCTAATGGTCACCATTCTTTTTCAGTATCATAATAAGCTTGTTAAACAAATTTGATGTGTTTTATGGTGCCAGTTATGGTGGAAGATGTCATTAAAAACAACTGTTACATCTTCCCATAAAACATTGTTTGTTTGTTACTATACTGCATGGATATTTTTATTTGATCTTGTAGAGCTCTGTTCTTATCTCGTTTTCTCTTGCATTACTGGCTGATACTGATAAGATTTGCAAAAGCATTTGTCTCTGTCTTGAAATGTAAACATGGCAGATATTGTTTCCTCTATTCACAGTTGGAACTTTCTGCTCTACAGTCCATGACGGCTGTGCAAGAAGAAGAGCTGCAGGTGCAGGAAGAAGAGTTTCAGGTGCGAGACGAGCTGCAGATGCAAGGAGAGCCGCAGGTGTGGGAGGAAGAGCTGCAGGTGGGGGAGGAAGAGCCACAGGTGGGGGAGGAAGAGCCACAGGTGGGGGAGGAAGAGCCGCAGGTGCAGAAGGAAGAGCCTCAGGTGCAAGAAGAGCTGCAGGTGCGGGAGGAAGGGCTGCAGGTGCAGGCTGCTGATATGGAGCCTCTGACCAGGAAAATACAGAGTAAAGAAGACCTCATGAAGGTCCTTCCAAAGTTTTTGCAGACCATTGGAAATGTTCACATCTCAGATTGCCTGTAGGGCATCTTCAGACAGTATTTGCACACAATGACTCCCTTGCCCGGTGCTTATCAATATCTTACTTGAAAGTATAGGCAGACTGTTTCAAGAACATTTGTCTGTGTTTGTCAACTGCATAAAACTTTGATTACTATTGTCATGTTTACACTTGCTTTTTGACTTCTAGGACCTGCAAATACAACTGATTTTCCTGAAGACATGCCAGCTGTGGAATGCCTGACCCAGGAAGTATTACTTCTTTGGGAAAAAGTTGCTTCAGTAGAATCCCAGGATCAAGAAATACCAGGAAACCAAAGACAACAGGTAAGTTATTGGAATATAGAGTCACTCTCTCACACACACACACACACACACACACACACACACACACACACACACACTCTCACTCTCTCTCTCTCTCTCTCTCTCTCTCTCTGTGTCCATATATATATATAGAGAGAGAGAGTCTCACTGTGTCACCCAAGCTGGAGTGCAGTGCTACAATCATGGCTCACTGCAGCCTCAAACTCATGGAGCTCAAGGAATCTTCCTGCCTCAGCCACCTGAGTAGCTGAAGCTGCAGGTGCATACCACTACACCCGACACAAACTTGTTTTTCTACTGTGAAATAAACCATGGTATTGGTTTTTCATAAATGTTATTTCATCAGGAAACTGCTCTGAAGTTTCCTACTTTGGTCATTAGCAGCTATAGATGCCTCTTTCTGACATGTGTGGTTCTGTAAAGAGCAGCAGTTCTTTTGGACACATACCAATAGTTATCCCTCACACTCATGTGTAAGTCACCTCCCTCTCAACTGAATCTTTCTCCTCTGGCTGCATTTAACCATGTTCAAATTTCTCCCAGTTGAAAAAAAAAGAGAAAGAAACCTCTGCTTTTGCCCCAACTTTCTTTGTAGCTACAGCCCATTTAACCTTTCTTTTCCAAAAGACTCACTTGCCTGTACTCTCTGTCTCCATTAGCATCTCTCTTACTAACTACTCACCCCACTCCATTCTGGCTTTCAACTCTACCTTCAACAAATCTCTGTTGGTTATACATGATCATAGCTCGTTATCTTTATAGCACTATTACACTCATAATGACAAACGTCTATGATTAATGAACATCTTTTTCTCCACTAGATAGTAGGCTTTCCCTTAGAACCTGGAATGGAGTCTTTCCCATGGAAAGTGCTCAATAAATATGTATTGAATGAATGAAGAATACTGGTAATTCCTATTATATGTGTTTCCCTCTTGCCTGTCCCGCTTCCCTCTTACTCCTTTCCCTTAGCTGCTTTCCTGTGCTTCTAGCTTCTCTCTTTTATTCTTTTTGCTCCTGTGTTTGAATTCCAACTTACAGGATTTTAAAGATTAAAAAAATAATATGATATTGATTTGAAAACTATGCAATACTATCAAAAACTTAAGTACTAACATAGCAGGCTTTTGAAATCATAGCACGTGCTAATGCATTTTCCTGCTTCTTGGGAAAACTATGCAATACTATCAAAAGCTTAAGTACCAACATAGCGGGCTTTTTAAGTCATAGTACGTGCTAATGCATTTTTTTGTTTCTCAGGGTTAACTGTGGCTTCATGTCTCACTGCGCCATTTGTGTATTGCTTCTTCTCTCTTCTTTTCGCAGTTGCTGCTGATGCTAGAAGGACTAGTAGATGAACAGAGTTGGCTCAGTGAGGACTTACAGCAGAGATGGCTCTCTAGCAGTCTGGTGAAGTTCCATGCCCATCGAGAGAGGTAGGAGAATGGCTATTTTTCCTTTTATTCTTTGTTGAAATTTTTATTTCTTTTACTATTCTTTTTATGCCTTTTCTTTTTCATTAAGTGCAGATGCTTATGATACTGAACAGAGAATAAAAACAGGGACAATGACTGGGGCTACCCACGTTGTCATTTGTTTTATGGATTGCTCTGAGCCTTGGTGTGGAAATCTTAAGTCAGAAATAGTGCCTGTTTCACACAGCGATTGCAGAGATCAAATGAGAAGACAGCTTTGGTGTCTAAAACAATGCCTTGCATATGGTCAACACTCAATATATGTTCCCTTCCTTTTGTGACCCATGTCCTGTTAAAGGCTGTTCTATTATAAAAGTAAGGCTACACCCTGTCTCTACTGAAAATATAAAAATTCACAGGGCATGGTAGTGTGTGCCTGTGGTCCCAGCTACTTGGAAGGCTGAGGCAGGAGAATCACTCGAACCCAGGAGGCGGAGGTTGCAGTGAGACAAGATTGTGCCACTGCTCTCCAGCCTGGTGACAGAGAGACTCCATCTCAAAAAAAAAAAAAAAAAAAAAAAAAAAAAA